GTTCAAGTGCACTGGAGTGCAATGTTACATTGAAGTGTTAGATTTTTTTTTTTTTTAACTTTTCCTATTAGGCTCTGTAATAAACCTACATGGTTGTTTTATGAGGTGTAGAGCCAGTGCTTTTTCTGTATTTACTCTCCCTTTTTCCTTTACACAGATCTATACAAGTCCCAGCTGTGTCCCCGGCAAACAAGCAAACTGTTTTTTTTTTTTCCCCCTCTCTCTCTGGCTGGAAAGTGATTATTGTTCTTGATGATCTCTAGAGAGGGTCATTACATTCAACCAATCAGTGCACGCAGTGAGCATAACACTGCACGTCTCAATTACTTTGGGATTAAGGGCGGTGTGATGTGACCAAAATCTTACATTACAGCATGAGTCATCAACCGAGTCATTTTAGATCACAGTAACAATATATATCATAATATAGATTTTTATTGGAAATTAAATAACCATGTGGCAATGCCTATTTTTGAATAATCCAGTGGATTTTTTATTTATTTGCTTTTAAGATGCTGGCAGTGTTATTAGGTAGCAGGTGGCGGGGGTATTACAGCTGAGTCATGCTAAACCCAGCAAATCAGACTTGCATGTCGTTTAGGCTCAGGTGAACATACCGAAGAGTTCAAGTGCACTGGAGTGCAATGTTACATTGAAGTGTTAGATTTTTTTTTTTTTTTACTTTTCCTATTAGGCTCTGTAATAAACCTACATGGTTGTTTTATGAGGTGTAGAGCCAGTGCTTTTTCTGTATTTACTCCCTTTTTCCTTTACAAAAGCAGAAGAAAATAATTAGTTTAGTTATGTTAATGTATCATTATAATATATTTTAGCAGTATAGTTTTATGTTTTAGCATTTCAATTTAAATAATTTTTAAAGTAAAATTTGTTCTGGTTGACCAGTTTATATACAGTTTTAAAGTGCATTCCTTTATCTGGGAAAGTATTGATTTTGAAAGCTGCAAAAGTTATAAAACCACGTCTAAAATTGTGGTTGCATTTCTCATGATGACACATTTTATCTGATGTGAAGAGGTGCCATTATTGAAGTGTTAGATTTTTTTTTTTTTTAACTTTTCCTATTAGGCTCTGTAATAAACCTACATGGTTGTTTTATGAGGTGTAGAGCCAGTGCTTTTTCTGTATTTACTCTCCCTTTTTCCTTTACACAGATCTATACAAGTCCCAGCTGTGTCCCCGGCAAACAAGCAAACTGTTTTTTTTTTTTCCCCCTCTCTCTCTGGCTGGAAAGTGATTATTGTTCTTGATGATCTCTAGAGAGGGTCATTACATTCAACCAATCAGTGCACGCAGTGAGCATAACACTGCACGTCTCAATTACTTTGGGATTAAGGGCGGTGTGATGTGACCAAAATCTTACATTACAGCATGAGTCATCAACCGAGTCATTTTAGATCACAGTAACAATATATATCATAATATAGATTTTTATTGGAAATTAAATAACCATGTGGCAATGCCTATTTTTGAATAATCCAGTGGATTTTTTATTTATTTAGATCCTGGATATGCACACAAAAGCAGAAGAAAATAATTAGTTTAGTTATGTTAATGTATCATTATAATATATTTTAGCAGTATAGTTTTATGTTTTAGCATTTCAATTTAAATAATTTTTAAAGTAAAATTTGTTCTGGTTGACCAGTTTATATACAGTTTTAAAGTGCATTCCTTTATCTGGGAAAGTATTGATTTTGAAAGCTGCAAAAGTTATAAAACCACGTCTAAAATTGTGGTTGCATTTCTCATGATGACACATTTTATCTGATGTGAAGAGGTGCCATTTTTTTCCCATTACAGGTCGAAGAGAGTGAGAGACCTGTTGTATGACTATGTTCATGCATGCCTTTTGTGAGGGGTGCACATCAATGTCTTGTTTGGGATTGTTTTTAGGGTGTGTTTGAGTATTCCTTTGGTGACCTAAGATGACAACCATTGCTAAGGAGTTCATGTCATTTCACACCCCGTTTTCCCGAACATTCTTAAACTTGAAAATGAACTACAGCATGTGCTCACAACAGCAGTTTGAGTCTGCTTACAAACACACACTTAAATGCTTGCTTTAGAAGCGTGTACAAGATTTGTTTTTCGTTGGCTTCTTTATAGGGCTTTTAAGCCCAGTGAGAGCACTATATGGAGCCCTTTTTAGGCATAAAGTAGCAAGTGTGATACATTTGTCAGAGCTATGGATCGCACCCTTGAATATCTCAGCATTAGGGTGAAACTGGCAGACACCACACATTTAATATGCACACATACTCTTGTAATGAGAGCGAACCGAACACAGTCAGCCTTACAGAGCTGTCTTGTTGGCAGGCATCAGAAGTAGGTTATTCATGCATTATAGATCCAGTTCTGGTCCTGCACGGCTCCTCTTGTTGACAAGATAGACACACTATCTGCCTTTTACCGTGACCTCTCTGTTCACAGGTTTACTTGTTCATGGAAGTGTCCCAGATTTTGCTTGTTAGATGGATAGTTTGTCAGGTGAAAATATATTTAGGACTCTCGGGAGTCTATTTCACTGAATTGCACAATACCTCATTCACACTCAGGACATTGTCAGGAACATAATGACCTTTAACCCTTCAACTACACCTGTATTTGATTTGTAATATTTACTGATGTCCAGACATTGTTTTTATTGGTTTCTAAACCCATAATTCTAAGGTTTAAACTTAATTTAAATGATTGGACTTCTGATTTTTGCCTGATTTTATTATCTGCCTGGCATAGATTTATATTATAGTGATGTTCTCATCTCTTTAATAGGGAATTTGTAGTCAATTAATTTTTTTATATCAAATTCTTAGTTGTTTTGACATTGTTTAATATACAGAATAGCACAGACAAACAATCAGCTTTGCAACAGCAAGTAAAAATAATTTAAAAACGCATGATAAATTATATATATATATATATATAATAATATTAGGGATGCACGATATATCAGCCACCATATCGGTATTGGCCGATAAATGCTCATTTTTTCTGTTATTAAAGAATTATCGGTATCGGCCAAAATGTTCATATCGGTGCATCCCTAAATAATATAGATTTTTTTTAAATTAAAAAACAATATTGTTATTATTAATAATATTGTTATTAAATATTGTATTTAAATATATAAAAAAGTATATAGTTTTGATATATAAAATTAACAATATATTTGTGTTACAAATATGAATGTTATTAATATATTTTTCTACTTTTTTGTTACTGTCCTAAGGTTTATTGTGTGTGTGTGTATATATTATTATTTTAATTGGTAAATGTCACATTTGATCCATTCATCCATTTTACAAGGCCTGTGTGAAGAATTGCCTGATTTGATGCAAAAATGTTGTTCATCATTCTGCTAATCTGATGACGTTGAATAGCTAAACACAAGGCTGAATAAGTTTAGAAACCACTGAAGTGTCTATTTATGGACCTGCCTTAAAGCGCTGCTAGGCTGAAGCAAAAAGTAGGTGCAAGAACGCAAGCGTCTGTTTCTGATTTTATTGACTGACTGCACCTAATTACAGAGTAAAAGAAATGTGGTTCAGATGCTTTTGCTGTTGAATCTTGTCTTCTGTTGTCTGTGTGTGGTTACACCGTCAGAATGGCACTGAACATACTGCAGTAGGACCCCTGCTGGCTGTCCACTGGAAGTGACGCTGGCGCTCCAACTCGGGGCCTTCAAGGTCACCTACACTCGTGCCTCTGCTCCAGTCATACCTTATTCTGTTGAGGACAACCTCCAGCTGTGTGTGTTTCTCAGTATCAGCCTGAGGAAAGAGGAGGGGGCTATGTATTCTCAAAGCTGCTAGGGAATTAGTACCACGCTAATGCCATGTCAACACTGATTACCGAGACACTGATTGTCCCACTGGCCAAGTCTGATCTGCTTAAGAGAGGCTTGTTAACCTGTACTACTAAACAACACCTCACACTTTCACTCTCTGCAATCCTTTCTGCTTCTGTCTTATCTGTTTGTCCAGCAGTTTGCCACAGATTTGCAACAAGACAACTTTATATTTATTCAATGCAGGCTGCTTTGGGAAAGTGCCTGTGTGTGTGTGTGTGTGTGTTTATATATCTGAGCAGTGGCAGTACCTGAGGGAGAGAGTTCACCCTGATACTGTCAATAGTTTGTGTTAGTGATGTTTGCACACACCCTAGTGTGTTCAACATTATATATTTGATAGATGAGCATATATAAGCCTCTTGGGCACAATCTTTATGCCCCCCCCACCCACCCCCACCCCCACACAAGAAAAAAAAAAATCCAGATTCAGTTATATATTATTATTATTTTTTTTTTCAATCTTATGAAAGGAACAGTCAACACAATTGTGCATATGAAAATGTTGTACTCAATGTGTTCTTTGGCCCTAACTAGACTTTTTAGTTGAGGGTGGCCACCCAGGATGAGTTAGTTTTCTCATTGAACAGAATTGGAGAAATGTAGCGTTACATCACTTGCTCACCAATGGATGGATCCTCTGCAGGTTTTGCTTCCAACACACAAAAGCGCTGAGAACATGCCATAAGCAAGGTCATGCCAGTCAATGCAGTATTAATTAAATTGAGTGTGTGTATTAGAGAGTACTTGAATGACCTTTTTATATGGGCTGGGAGTTTGTGATGTCCCGGTTGACTGGGTGTTTGGGTCAGGATGGTTAACTAGTCGTCCATTGAGTTTACCTACATTTATTTTCTTTTTTTTGCAATATTTATAGAGATGCATCTTTACCATTTTATAAAATGTTACCAATAATAAATATAAAACAAACTTATTTCATTATTTATAATACTAATAAAATATTTTTTATATATATAAAAACAAACTATATCGATCTATCTCTCTCTCTAAAATGTGCAAACACACGATTAGATATAGATTTTACAAACAAAAAATGCATAGATGAAAGTTAGAAATAATATATTCACTGTGCCAGATTATGCTGAAACCTGACGAATTTGTTTGTTTTCAGTGTCTCTTTGCGAGGAGGGTGGTACATGAAGAGGAGGAGGAAACGACAGAAAGAGAAGAGGAAGATGGTGATGAGGATAAGAGCTCTGATGAAGGCCTTCTGCTACAGGCACACCATGCCATGGAGAGGATGGAGGAGTTTGTGCACAAGGTCAGACTCTCAAGTTCATCTCTCACGCACACACACTTGTTTCACTGCTCCGTAAACACAGATGTGCATTATCATTGAGTTTATATGTCGAGGGTCATACGGTGAGATTAAAAGCACACCTGACCCGAGCCGAGTGCTCACAGCTGCTTTTACAGGAACACACCACAGTCCACCAACACTAAAAACATCCCTGCCAAACCAGACGCCCATCTCCTGGCTCCAGCAGCCTCTCATCTCAATCTTGTATTGAGAGTCTGCCATATGCAGAGGAACAGGAACTGAAAGCCATCCTTTGTAACATGCGCTGCAATGTTGAGCCCTATAAACCAGCTCAAGTTTAGTTTGCTTTTTGAACCCCTTCTGCTTTAATGGCTCTTTCCTTCCTCTCCTCTCTCCCCCTCTGGGGAAGAAGCCAAAGCTCTCTGTGTCGAAGAGCAAACACAGTGCAAGATCCAATCAGTGCCATTCAATGTCAGCACTCAGGTACAGAATCTTGAAAGGAACACATCTAGAAAGATTTTAAAACGCACATCCTGACAGATAACCGAAAGGCACGTCATGGAGTCGATCAAACAACCTGACCTAGTTTCATTTGTTTTATTTATTTAAAAGTATGTCCAGATACACAGAGCTAGGAGCTGTTCTCTCAGCAGATACGGCACATTCATGGCCTCTTTGCCCTCGGCTGTAGTCCCTGCATGTGCTGTACTTATAGGTGTAATCCTGTGGTCACGCCTGTGACTGGTTGCACGGGAGTGGTTTTCATCAGCATGATTTGGCAGAATGCTGCTAAGAAACTGCAAAGCTTCTTCCCAGCAGTGTTACCACAGCTGGTAAAGAGAAACCAGACAACCTATTGATCTTCTACACCTTTGGACTCGTGGAGTGACTGAGCCATAATGGACAAAACGGATGTTTGATGTTGATCTATTAATAATCGCTAAGCTTTCTGATGTGCTTTGAGTTCAGTTTGATTCATCGCATTGACCTGTAGAGAGCAAGGGCCTATGTATAACTGACTAAAGGATGATTAGCGTTTATGAGTATTGAGATTGAACTCTAACACACACATACATGTAACCAGTATTTCCCTTGTGTCTACAGGCTGCCTGTTCTTTCTTTGTCTGGGCATTGTGTACATGTTCAGGCCCAATATGTCGTTTGTGGCCCCGTTCCAGGAGAAGATTGTCATCGGCGCATTCTTCCTGGGGGCCATTCTCTGCCTGTCCTTCTCCTGGCTCTTTCACACGGTCTACTGCCACTCGGAGGGGGTGTCCCGTGTCTTCTCAAAGTAAGCACCTGCAACACTCACTGTATATTTATTTTTATTGAAAGGCCATTTGTAACTTGAATGTGCAAGGCTTCCAGTTTTTTTTAGCTGTATAAAACAGCTTATGCTACTTGATATTACTAACTGGTATTTCTTATATTATTTTAATGTATTATTGCAATTATAAACACACTGGTTTATAGCGCAAATAGTTTTACCATTTACTGCACTTTGTTATTCTTCTAGTTATTTACCTATGGTGGCTAATGAATAGTTGGGGACACTTCATTTCCAGCGTTATCGTTGACATGATTGCAAAGATATTATTTAAACTGAGCTGGATGTTGACATCACTGAATTCAATGATGAACTGTCTTTAACTGAAAAATGAGTGTTTACTATTGTCATTTTGCATTATTGACACTATTTTCCTAATTAATGCTGTTCAGTTGCTTTGTCACAATCTGTATTGTTAAAAGCGCTATATAAATAAAGGTGACTTGACTTGACTAATGAATCTGTGAAGTCTCGCACATTCACAGAAAATAGCTTATTTCCATGTTGCAAAATAAGGTGGATAGTATTCCCAAATATTAAGGAATTTTAAACTGTGGGTGACACTTTATTATAAGATTCAGTACTTTAGTATTTGATGCACTAGGATCACTTTATGGCATATATTAATCTTGGTTAATGATACTTAGTAGATATAGTTCGTTTTTTAGTCCAAAACATCTGTTAATGTGTAATGTTAATATTTATTTTAACTTTAAAAATAATCTATATGTAAACATTAAGCAAGATTAATTCTGTGAAAGTTAATAGGTTGCTAAACATTTTTGAAATTTCGTTAAATTGTTAAGTTTGGTATATTTAAAAATGTCTAATTTTTTTTAATAAATAATTTTTATTGAAATTTATAGTTTTTAATTTAAATCGTTAAATTTGGGTACATTTAAAATTATTTTAAAAACAATTCTTAACCTCCTTTCTCTCTTTCCGTTCTATCACAGGTTAGACTACTCGGGCATTGCGTTCCTGATCATGGGCAGTTTTGTACCGTGGCTGTATTACTCTTTCTACTGCTCCCCTCAGCCCTGTTTTATATACCTGATAGTGGTATGTATCCTGGGGATAGCTGCCATCACCGTCTCACAGTGTGATTTCTTCGCCACGCCACAATACCGTGGAGTCAGGGCTGGTAAGACACCGTCTCACTCTGTTCAGGACAAATGTGTGGCGTTACGCCACGTGCCAGTGATGGGTCATAAATCTCTGCTTTCGCTTGGTGCTTAACAAGTCTAGAAATGTCTACTAGTGCAATATAAATAGTTAAATGGAGGTCCTGTCTTCTGTGTCTCAGGTGTGTTTGTGGGTCTGGGCCTCAGTGGAGTCATCCCCACGCTGCACTTTATGATCACTGAGGGCTTCCTGAGGGCCACCACCATGGGTCAGATGGGCTGGCTGTTCCTCATGGCCGTCCTGTACATCACCGGAGCCTGCCTGTACGCCGCACGCATCCCAGAGAGATTCTTCCCTGGCAAGTGTGACATCTGGGTGAGTCGACGTCCTGGAATTCATACACAGAGTTCACAATCCACGCTAGTCTAATCCGTACCTTGTCATTATTTTTCAGTTCCACTCCCATCAGCTGTTCCATATCCTGGTGGTAGCAGGTGCTTTTGTGCACTTCCACGGTGTTTCCAACCTGCAGGAGTTTCGTTACACAGCTGGCGGAGGCTGTGCACAGGAGGGTGGCGCATGAGCCCTGTGTCCTGCGGTGCTTGAAACGCACCACTAGCGGGAGACAACGTTCCTCTTACCTTTGCCGCCAGCAAGTGTTCCTCCTGCCCATGAGGGGTAAACCTAAGAGGACAGCACTGAACGACAAAGATACCCACCTTTATTATTTTTCTCTTTCCGTTTTTGGTTTATTCTCGGTTTTGCCCCCTTAAAAAAATGCATCATGGGATAAGGTGGACACAGGTTGAGGATGGCAGTTTGTTTCCTAAGATCATACATTGAGAAAGAAGAGCTTGTTGGCTTGGTCTATTGCGGTTTGATGGTCTATTGCTGTTTTTTCTTTGTACAAGAAAAAGCGTTAAACAAAACAAAAAAATGCAAATGTGTGACCGTTTCTTGGGGTGGGCAGTTAGCCATTTTAAATTTTTCATGTAAATAAGATTTCTAAAATTTGGGTTATATAGATTTGTACGAAAATAGATATAAAATGTTTTTAAAAAAAAAATACATCATTATATGGTTTAACGGAGGTAAAAGAGAGAATGTGGGAAAGAGACCCATGTGGTCTCGAGTCGGAAGCGGCCAACCAGAGGCCTCGGTATTCTGTCATCCTAAGCACAGCTGTTAAGAGCTAAAAACGCACCTGTAGGCCAGTGGGACGCCCTGCACACGATGGGGCCGCCAGGATTTAGCGCTCACGTACTCCGCAAGCCTTCATATCGCTGTCAGTGCTGTTTCCTTCCACACAGAAGGCCGGTTTTCCATCTTCTGAGTATTTCTCTCTCTCTCTGTTTTCGTTTTATTCATCTTTGTGAATGTAGACTCAACCTGGTTTAAAAAAAAAAAAAAAAAGAATCGATGAAAGACTTGCTGTTTCAAAGTACACAAAATCATACTCGAGCAGTGCAAGGATGCATTTGTTGTGTAATGTCCTGTGTTCACCATCTGTACGTGATATAATTTATTAAAGAGTTTATGGAAACATTACAACAAGCTGTAATGTTCCACATTTAAACATGAGCAATGTTTGTTTTCTCAGAGATTTTTACATGCATTATTTATTTTAATTTTAAAATTAAAAAATGTAACTCATGACTGTTGTGGTTTGTTTTTCTTTACTTGCTACTGAGGTTCATTTTTGCACACCAAGTTAAAGTTTTAAATCTGTTGCAACATTTAATTCACGATTATAATAGATTACTAGTTTTCCTTTTTTAAGGGCTCTCAAAAGTGTGTAGAAGTCTACTACCTTTCCCATTACAGTTCATGATAGTAGCTAAACTTCAGAACTGCCAATCAGTACAGTCATTTTAACAATTTCCTGTTGCTAGAGTAATTAGTCACATGACATTTGCAGCTCAGGTGATTGGCTCAAAGCAATCCGAAAAACCGATAATAAAGGTCCTACTAACGAGTTGGACAGGCATGACTCGAGCAGCCTAACTAAACATAAGTGGATACGCTGTACCTACATCACTTTTACACAACCTATAAAATTAATGCATGGTATATAACAAACAAATAACTTGCATAAAGCAAAGTTATTTGTTTTACATAGTTTTCATATAAGTGCCGTCATTAATATTAAAGAATGACATTTCATTTTGACATGCCCATGTCACAGCTTGTAATCACATTATTCCTGACTCCACATATCCACACAGGGCATCACTATTGAAATGAACATGAACATGGTATTCTACATATTAAAACAAATACATAAAGCAGTGTTTATACTATTTGGTTAACCTATTAAATGGCTTATAGTTGTCTTTCTCAGAACATTAAAATGGTATTTTAAAATCAAGAAAATGATCAGTTATTAGATTTCAGTCATGGGATTCAAAGGGTTAACACTGTCCTAAAGCAACGCACAGACCCTCTAGTGATGCACTCCAGATGAAAGAGTAAAGGTAAATGATCAAAAATACCAAGCTGAGCTGGTAGGATGGTGGCATTCAACTGCACTCACGCAGGTTCAAACTCAATAAGCAGACACTTTTAAAGTTGCTTTGGGTAAGAATACATCTGCCAAATACAAACTTTGGCTGCTAGGGAGAAGGTGAATGGGAATCGTGAGGATTCAACTACACCTCCCTTGCATTTTGTTTCATCTCCCACCATCCCACAACAACCCAACTCCTTACCAGCCAAAGCTGGTATTATTTAGGAAACGTTTGCACATCTTAAAAGACATTTAGAATGAAACGCACTGTTAGCGATGCTGGAAAGTGCATCTGAAAGAACATTTACCCTGAAAATAAACTTGTTTGCAACGTGTTCTAGGAACTGTGTTCAAATAGCATCGTATAAATAAAAGCTAATTCATTATAAAACTATGAATCACAAGACCATTTTAACGCCTACATCATTACCAGACAAATTAGTTATTTTGTATATTCTCGTTCACATGTTCAAAACTACCACGTTGACGCGAAAAGCAATGAGGTTTGCGTCCAGTGTCTTTCGCTCCGCCCTTTTCTCCTTATATGGTACAGAACGCACCCAACGTGCTACGCGTATGTAAACAAACAGACGTTTTCACGTGCGCGGCAGATTCGAACGAGGAGGACAATATTTGACTGAAAACAACAAAATCAACATTTTTGTGCACGGAAAGCAGTCGAAGCACTTCAGAACGCTTGGAATAACGTATACGAATCATATGGATAACGCTGATTGTGTTTTTGGAGCTTGACGCTTAATGATCATCCCTCCTCCTTGTGTTTCACGGATGTAAAGTCATCGGATTGGACGTGAAGGTGAGTAAATTACAATTTGTATCAACTACGTTAATGGAAGTAAATGATGTGTGCGTCGGAAACAACCACTATTAAAGCGGATCAT